TCTTTATTTTTATACTTTTCGGCTGACCATGTGATGTTCTATCTCGAAACAAAACAGCTCCTGATTAGAGATTGAAGTCTGCTAGAAATGCTCCAAGTCTCTGAACCATACAGAAGCACTGACTGGCTTGACAGCAGTGATTAAAATCCGAATCTTTTCCTTCTTACTTAGCGCAGCAGATTTGCACACTAATCTCAGATTACTGAAGTTCTATCTTGCCTTTCCAATTATATCCTGCTTTGACACTGTCATCTGTGCTACCATCTGTAGCTGAAAACAAGTTGCCTAGATAAGCAGAAGAGGCGACCTCCTTCAAATTTCTCTAGATGTTGTTGTTTAGACAGTTCCACTACATCTATCTTCTTTGCGTGTACTTAAATTGCTGTCTTAGATGCTTCTTCTGCTGTCAGCTTGTTGGATTTCGCCTATAGATCTATGAGTTTCTGTGTTATTAGACATAAATTGTCCATGAAGTCCAAATCTTCTGGAGTCTTCTTGTAGGCCCAACGTTTTTCTGTCTTTTTGCTCCTGTCATATGACCCAGTAGAGTCTACGTCCCCAGTGAATGATGATAATGTTTCCAGTGAGACTATAAGACTACACCCATTGCTTCAAACTTCAAACCACTATCCGGGTACATTTAACTTATGAGTCTCGAACCAGACAAAAAAGGGGAACTGCGGCTGGATCCCACTAAAATGGCCCCTGCCAACTAAAATACATTCACGTTGATTTACTCCTGTCAAAAAGAATATAAGTAGTTTGCCCAAGTACAATCGCTTAAAAAAAGATTGAACATTAATTACAACAACAGAAAAATAATAATAAATAAAATGGTTCATACCTGCACTGATTTCGATAAAATTAATATCATTTATTTGCATAGAATTACAATGAGATAAGAATGAATTATGGGATGGATAACTTCTGGGTGGGCAAATCACTTTGCCTAATGACACTATCATACATGATGATTAATAATGCTTAATCATCGTATCATTATTCGTTTAAGGCATGAATTACATAAATTATTCATGGTGGTCATTATTCATCTATTCATTCATTATGTTCTATCAATTTATTATCATAAAAATTTAATTTATTAACTAATTAATTAATTAATTACAAATTAGATGTAATTAAGATAAGACTAATTACTTAACCTCCAAGAAAGGTATACCTATTTCTCGAATTCCTGGGAGATGTTTATCAATTCGTGTATTAGAGTTAATTATCATACCACCACCAGGACGCTGAATAAAGAATTGCTGATATTAAAGTCACTCCCCGAAACTGGCTATAATGACTGATATCATAAGATCTTGAGCCGTTTAAATATGTCTATTGGCTCTTTTACATGATCCTGTGGAGCTGACCGCAGTGGATTTTGTGTAAGCGTGTTCTCTCTCAAATAAAGCGTAGCTGAACCCCGGTGGGTGCGTACTGTGAAGAGTCCCAAACTAGGACGAAACAGCTGGCTATCCAGTACTCCCAGGTTTTCCAATGGTTCACAAACCAATGTCAGCTCACGATGAAATCCTTTAACCAATCAACCAAAACTTGAATATCGATGAGATGCTCCCTGGCGACTGGCCTTATTCAGGTAGGTAGTTACCTGAGGTTCCAGTGGGAAGTCGTGACCAGTAGGGTGCAGCAGGTCGAGTGTAAGGACAAATACTCGCCGAAGACATTGGCTAGCAGTTGCGGCATATCGTAAATTGGCAGAAGTTAGAATTCACGGGCTGGCCATTGGATCGGGTCCCAGTGACTTAATGGTCTACGATCTCGCCTTGTAACCAGAATGTTCTGGGTTGGAACCTCAGTGGATGCGTACTGATGAAGAGTCCCAAAATAGGACGAAACAGCCGTCCAGTACTCCCAGGTTTTCCAATGGTTCTCTATTCAATGTCAGCTCACGATGAAATCCTGTAACTACTCATTTTGGTTGATAATGGAAAAAGGAAACATAGAGTGATGAATTCTTCTCTTTGTGAAAACCTTCTTGAGTCTAGTCAGTCATTGAGTCTCACGAGATTAATCCGCTAAAGTTATTTGCGTCCGTAAGATATGTAGGGATAATTGAGAATGAAGGATTCCTGTTTTTATTTTTAAAACAAAAGGCACTCAATGAAGAGTTACTCTGCTCAGTGATTTCATTCTCAGGCTGTGTAACTGCAGATATATATATATATGTATAGTACATCCTCATAGAAACATAAGGAGTATTTTAACAGATTTGGAATTGGAATTTTAAGTTTTAAATAACAATTCCATAATTCAGAGACCAGCGGTCCAGTAGAAACTAGAATTAAATTGAGCAGGTAGACAGTGTGACGCAATATAATTGAAGGGAGTGAATGGAAGTAACCTGAAATCGAAAGACAGTCAAGTCACGATCCCTGTCATAAGAAATAGAAATGTAATAGTGTGGTGCTGGGGGACGGGAGGAGATAATGAACAAAAGTAGAAAAAATAAGACACTAGTATGGGGAGAGCTGTCTGCTAGACAAAATTGGTAGACAGCAATTTACGTCAACGATTACGTCACAAATGCTGGAAATGAGAAAAGACAAGAACAAAGCCTAACCTTGAGTAACTAACTCAACAACCAGTCACAAAAGACTTAGGGAGGGTGGATACGAATCGCACATAAATCACCGGATTGTCTAAGAAATGGTAACCAAAGGGAGAGGACAGAAAAACCTTAAGCAGGAAAACGTTACTTCTCTGCTAACAATAACTAATAATAATGTAAATAAAAATCTATAAATATCTCTCGATTTTCTCAATAAATGATCTGTTGCCTGGTTCTTGCCTTCTGTCGTTACACTAGGAGATACAAAAAATTAAGTATGTAGTGTTAACACAAATTAGATCCACTGACTGAACAAACTTCTTTTTTATGCAGAGTTCAAGATTTTAAATGTGGATCAGAGTGGCTTTTGCGGTTTGAAGAAGTTTGACTCACGTTCCATTGGAGTTTGTGAGGGATCCTTGTTCGACGATACATCTGAACAGCAAACGCTGAGTATAGCCAACATACTTAGCTCCACAACAGTAGGTGCCTTGATATGGGCATACTGTGAAGCTGGTCTCATCAGTAGTAACATTTGACAGAAGATGTACAGTTTTGTTGACGTACCATGCACGCATTGAAACCGTCTTTTTCACATGTTCCCTGTACTGTGTTTCTTTTGTTTCTCTTTTGAACTGTCTACATTATTTCACAAGAAGCTTTCATTTCTTCACTGTGTTGTTTAATCCGTCTCTCTTCTGTTCAATAAACCTGCAAGGATTGTCGTACAGCATACTACTAATGGTCAGTGGCACGAGCTTTACTAATAACTTCGTTCGGGAATTCTTCCTATCTGGATTAGTACAGTTTTTAGCACTAGGCCTATGAACAGAATGGCAGGTGAGAAGGGCGGTTTTCCCTTATTATCCCTTCTCACCGGTTATTGGATCTTTACTACTGAGTTAGCGAAGGCAGCTGTAGATAAAAGACTGCAGTAGCTTGTTGGAAGGGCGCATGTTACGTCTCTGAACCTTACAAAAGCATTTACTTGGCATTCATGCTGAAAATCCTGGTCTCCTTCTTTATACAGAGTGATCTAGACCTCCAGGTTGGTTTCATAGTAATGAAAGCCTGTCTCAGTGTGTATATAAGTAGCGCGCACTATAAGGTGATCATACAAAAGTATAAATACACAGTTTCATCACTCTGTATAACTACCATCGCAATGCCCTGAACACATTATCATATTAAAGAGTTTAACTTGTAGTACGGACATTATAATAACTAAATTTAAATGTGGTTTTCTTGTTTGAGCTGTGTGGTCTAATTAAGAAGCTTTGATTCTCTCCCCAGATGATATTTTCAGCTCTAATTTCAGTATGAACTTCAATAATATAACTGTAGATGCATTCACTCTTGAGCTACTGTAATACTGAGCAAACGTCTATGTTGAAACCAATCAGTCTGTAAGTATTGGTTTTTTTTATTCCTTCACGTTCCCCAGTGGAACATAGGGCTTCAGGCTAGAGACTTGAAGTTTCTGTAGCAGTTTATTTTTACAGCTAGGGGTTGCTAGCCTCATGCCCAACCTTTCCTCTTCACCAGCTTTAGTTCTGGATTAGCCAGGTAAAGGAAGACCAAATTTTATGAAGACCCATCGGGGTTCCAACCAAGCTTCTAACGGTTACAAAGCAAGCTCGTTACTATTCAGAAACTGGAACCCGGTCCAATGGCTCATGAATCAAAGACATCACTAATTTTCGATGTTATCCCAACCACCAATCAATGTCATCGGTGAATATTTATCTTCACGTACAGCCTGTTGAAACCCTATGGCCACGACTTCTCACCGGACACTTCATCCTGCAGTCAGCCATTAGAAATCATCAGATTAATTTTCGACAACTGGTCTGTAGGGATTTTATTTGTTTCAAATAGGGTTATGGAATCGAATCAGTTAGAAAAACTCTTGAAAACGAGGAGTCGGTAGGAGTTGGAATTTATGGGCTGGTCGTTAGTTTGGTTCCTATTGACCAAATAGTCTACGAGCTAACCTTGTCACTGGAAGGTCCTGGGTTCGAACCCCGGTAAATGCATAACACTGAAAAGTCCCAAACTAGGACGAAACAGCTGCCCAGTATTCTCTGGACTCTTGAAAATTCTACCATACCCAAAACTGTAAGACTACTTCATTAGAATATTTGTGTGCTGCTTCCTATTTGCTTCGTTTCTTTTGCATGACAATCCTTCTATAAATAATCTGTTCAAATTCAATTTTACACCCGGTAGTTTTGGTGCATAAAAATGTCCCAGAAATTACATTGTACTAACTAATCTGTTTTTCTAAATTAAGACACAAACATGCCGATAAATACATATAAGTGTATGTTTATAAGGACTATTCGCTGATTGGAGGATTATTCAACCAATAATATTTAAGAAACATTAGGCTGTTGTCACCAGATCTACTACTTACGACTTACTACCTGTATGTAGGCTAAACAGTAATCAACCATAAATATTTATTTAAACAATCACTTTTTCATTTCTTATCAAAGTGGATTACAAAATCTCTCCTTTTGGAGAAAAATTTAGACAAAGTAATGGATTATCTTAATTTACGATCTGTCACAGATTCAAGAAAATTATTTACAGGCAGTTCTATGTAAGTATGTTTTGTTTAAATTGTGTCATAACAAATCAATAAATATATATGAGATATATCTACTGTGTGTAATATATACTGATAATAAATAAATACATGGGCATATTAAACACAATTTAACTATATTTACGTGGACAGTATAAAATGTAGTGTTAATCTTCCAGAAGTCATTTATATTCCTTTAAAATTAACTCAACCATGTATTTTTTGATTGCACACTAGTCGGTAACTAGTGTAATGTGTCTGGTCCTATCTTCGATGCAGACTGAATTCTATCAGTCATGTTTGCAATGTGGCCACCATGCTAGTTTGCTCGCCATTACGGTGCAGTGTGAATTGTTGGTACTAGATGGTTGGAGGCAATCGGCAGGAAACCTTGGACCTAGGTTTCGTGCTAGTTGGCACTCACCAGCAAGGCGTATCTGCAACCTTGAAGGAACTCATGTCCCTTCTGAGATTCGAACCCACGTTACCCAGTGCTACAGTCAGAGACGTTACCACTGGGCTATTCAGGCTCGCGACTGACCTCCTGTAGGACTGTATTGGATATTTTTGATTGCACACTAGTCAGTAACTAGTGCATTGCAAACATGACTGATAGAATTCAGTCTTCAACGAAGATAGGACGAGACACATTACACTAGTTACTGACTAGTGTGCAATCAAAAATATCCAATACAGTCCTACAGGAGGTCAGTCGCGAGCCTGAATAGCCCAGTGGTAACGTCTCTGACTGTAGCACTGGGTGACGCGGGTTCGAATCTCAGAAGGGACATGAGTTCCTTCAAGGTTGCAGATACGCCTTGCTGGTGAGTGCCAACTAGCACGAAACCTAGGTCCAAGGCTTCCTGCTGATTGCCTCCAACCATCTAATAACTCAACCATTATTAACCTCTGTCATGCAACTCTGTAACTCAATATGTGGGAATGTATATAATCTTATAAATATATTATAACTAATTCTTGTATTTCACCTAAATCGAAACCAACTCATCAACCCCATCGGCAGCACATAAGAGTTCATATATTTGTACACTGATTTAGTGTCAGTTTATTGCATATAAGACTCTTTCATTATCTCATATATATATATAAATATATATTAGACGGCCTACAATAATTCAAATTAATAGCTAATCTTTATCGCATCTGTCAAGAGAGGCAACACCTGAAATAATAGAGAAGATTTGTTGCTCAGGTAGATGATTTTGTGATGTGGTTGCCTGCTCTGACCTGAGTGATTTAACTGTAAAGTTGTCTGGTTGTAGGATTTCATCATGAGCTGAAATCAGTTAGAGAACCATTGGAAAACCAGCTGGGAGTACTGAACAGCTGTTTCGTCCTAGTTTGGGACTCCTCATTGGTACGCACCCACAGATCTTCGAGTGGGAGGACGTGACCAGTAGGGTGACCAGCAGGTCGGGTGTGAGGACAAATAATCATCACAGATGACATCGACTAATGCGCTATGTCGTGAGTTGGCAGAAGTTGAAATTCATGAACTGGCGATTGGATTGGGTCCTAGTGGCTTAATGGTTTACCAGCTCGCTGGCCTTGTAACCAGAAGGCCCTGGGTTTGATCCACCTGTGGTGGATGCGTACTGATGAAGATTCCTAGACTGGAATGTAGGAAACAGCTGTCCAGTACTCCCAGCTAGTTTTCCAATGGTTCTCTAACCGATGTCAGCTCATCCCTATAAACAAATAGTTGTAAAGTTGTCATTGTTCATCTAGACAGCATTTTCAGCACAAACTTTAATATACAGTGAACTTATTCAGATGCCTTATGGATGATATAATTGTCTGATTAACTGACTCATTGAGTTTCAACGTAGAACTTTGCATAGAACTGTTGCAGTTCAAGTTGACACACTCCATGTAGCACACAAATGTAGAAAAAAGAGAGATTCAAAAGTAATATTATTATTATTAGCATAATTGTGCCAAAGAAAGAATGGTAACTTGGAGAGATTATATAAGGTGAATGCGTCTACGCTACTGAAAGAGGATTCTAAGGCATAACACCAGTAATCTCTAGCCAATCGTCGTTCTTAGCATCCAGGGGACTTCAAGCAAGCAGTTTATCTATCTGTATCTCCTGATAACCTTTGTTGTGATTAGTGGTTAGTTTCCATCAGTGTTGATGGCTTTTATTAACTTGGAATTCCACTATTTTTTGTCATGTGGCCAGATATACAGATATTTAGTCTATCGTAATGTATCTTTTAGGCGCTGATGCGTGTGAGTGCAAGTCTTCTAAGAATTCCCTAGCATTCTTTGGTGTTCCGAGCGTTTCTGAAATAAACGCTAGAATGCTCAAACCATTTGGAATAGATTTAGCACACAAAGAAACACAATCACTTCATTCAGTATTATACACAAGAAAAGAACCAATAGAAAAAGAAAACAAATAGAACGAAGTCTAGGGAATGAATTGCATGAAATGTGATCAACATTACATCAGTCAAAGTGAGCCTCCCCTTTGACTCTGAGTTCAAGAACACAAACTAGCTGTCAAAAATATGACATATATTCTTTCATATCCATGCATACAGACGATTTTGGGCTATAAGAAAATGTAGAAATTTTTCAACAGTGGAAGCACCAAAAGTGTTAGAAAATTCTTGGAAACCTAGTACTCAAACGAATCAGTGATCTACAGACACATTACAATAGATCAAATGTTTTCAACTAATAAAGAATATTCCACATGACAAAAGGTTCAAATTCCAAATCAATAGGAAGACTGACATTGATAAAAATTCATAACCAGTCACAACAGAAGTTGTCAGGAAATTTCATCCATATAGAATTCAGATAAGCCCACCTCATCTTAAAACATGCACTAAAGATGCTGGCTACAAGGCTGATGAAAACTTCGCCAAAAAATAACTCTGCTTAGGGAAAACAAGTATACCAAGATTTCAGCATGTATCAAGTGGACCCAAACATTGCAACCATTACCTTGCAATATGATAGAGATGCCTGATGTAATAGTAATCGCTGGAAAGATTAAGTGTTTCATCAGTCCCTCTTCCTAAAAGACATCTGTTTCCACTACTGTAAGGCCGAAATCAAGAAAAAAATTTCATCTGGAATTGTCATTTGAAACCCTAAGTAATACTTTTTCACGAATATTTAACTAAATATTCTTTTACGAGTTGATCACGGACTGATATCAGTTAGAGAACCATTGAAAACCAGGGAGTACTGGACAGCTGCTGTTTCATCCTAGTTTGAGCTTGCCTTTTAACCGGAAGGTCCTGGGTTCGAACCCTGGCAGTGTGTGCGTACTGCCGATGATTACCAAACTAGGATGAAACAGCAGCTGTCCAGTACTCCCTGGTTTTCAATGGTTCTCTAACTGATATCAGTCCGTGATCAACTCGTAAAAACATAACAAACCCTTACAAACGAAACTATAGTAAATATTTTTTGTTGAATGATGCATAACCTGATGTTATGTCAATGCAAGATGCAAAGTGTCATACAACAACAATGATATCTGGCTGTTGGTCATCAGCAGAAAGATCCTAGACTCGCGTTTTAACCAATTTTAGACCCACTAGCTGGATGATACATTGTGCTTTAAATGTGACAGGCATCAAATAGGGCTGGATAACTTCTTGATATGATTATATATACATATATGGATCTATAAATATATATGTTTTGGCTTAAAGTGTCACTCAAAAGACAGGCTTCATTTTTATTTGTCACCTATCAGCTGGATACATCCAACAAAGTATATACTTTTGTATTAAGCTGTGATCGATTTTCGAGTTGAATCACAGTCTGAAAAATATCAAACACCTTTGACACTTTAGCCATCATCAGTATTGATAATAATAATAATGCACACGTCACTAAATAAGTTCTGCTATAGACAATTATACAGTTACCTTAGTGAATGATTGAATAAAACAATTTCGATTCGCCCAGTAAATTAGTAATTAAGTTTCCAATAAAAAAACAATGGCGGTTAGCTAAGGTAGGTATTCTACAGTAACATACTTCAAGAATATATGACATTAAAAAACACATATGTCTAAAATGACTGACGACAGTACTAAGCTGTTGGAGGCTGCGAGATGAAAACCATACATTCCAGTATTAGGAGGTAACTGTTAAGATTCAGGTTACTTAGGTTACCATGATCCTATTACGCAATAAATATGCCGAAGGGAGTGGAGAATGATCAGATACACACTGAGATGACCGCTGAGTGACATTATGCGCAAGGCATACCCTCGAAAAGAACCCGAATGAGTATTGGAGAGGTGACTTAGAGGAGATCGTGTGAGAAGGGAGGTGACAGCCCACTGAAGATCGTGCAGATAGCTAAAAAGAAATGCAGAGAAAAGAATGAAATGAAGATGTTCTACTGGAGCCCTATGCTCTACTTGGAACCCAAGGGAATAATAATATTAATATACAAGAGAATATATATATATATGCATAAATGAATAATATATGGAACAATTTCAGATAAAACAATTACACTGATTAACTTTAAGAGACATTCTTCATTCATTCATAATTAATGTGCAAATTTTTCAAATGCTTATTTACGACATATGGAATAAGGACTTTATTCGCTGACTGGATACGACGTCATAAACATTTCCGTTTATTTTCTTTTTTCTTTTCTTTTATATTCCAAATGGAACATAGAACATCAAGCCTGAGGTTTCAGTGGTGTTTTTTTGGGTTTTTTCTCAACTAAAACTTTCCGTCTTTACCGGGCTTACTTTAGGCTGAATAAGGTTTTGAGTGAGTCCGTCAGAAATAGAAACTGTAGAACATTCTGTTATTGAAACACCAATGCATTGACGGATTACTGGACATTATTTTCAACCTAGTTAAGGACTACACAACAATGCGTACCCATAACCCCACAAGAGACCAGTCAAATCCCTAAAAATTAGTCTAGTACTCACTAGAGACTGACTACAGTAAGATGCTGACTGGAGTTCTAGTGAAAAATCGTGAGCAGAGGG